ATTTTCATGTGATTTTCAATCACACATTTGATTTACCATAGCTTCAAAATTATTTACCTGAATAAAAATAATTAAGAACAGATGGAACATCAAGCCTAGGTGTGAATCTCCACATTGACTGAAATGCAAATTATGCCTTTGATAAATGCCCACTTTTATGGCAGTGTCAGAGTTGGCTACCTTTTGAGGACTATTGGAAAAAGCTTAGAACATGAAGAATTATCAAAACAATAAAGAAGGTCTTATAGTCTTACAGGAGATTTTAAGTAGCATCTACATCATGAGATGTGGAGAAGCAGAGTGAGTTTCAGGTGTGCCGAGGAAAGAAGCTGCGTGGTAACACGGTTTATCTGCCCGCCTCTCAGGGAGGCGTCCCTGTGGCTGCAGCTAGCGTGGAGACCCGTGCCGAATAACCTGGATTTCCCGCCAGAGGGCAGAAGAGGGCAGGCCAGGGAAGGCGCGCTCTCCTGTTTGCATCGTTCGTGACCCTGCAGGGTTCATTTCTGTCCTAAAATTTAAAGGAAACAAGGTGGTGGTGTTAAAATGTGATACTTCTCTTCCACTCTTTCCTCTCAAATAATAGTCCACTTACTTGGATTATCAGATCACCCTCCACTGGGCATTCTCTCTACCCTGACCTCTCCCTTCAGTGCATCCGCAGCACAGCAGCAGACTGACTTTGTTAAAATGCAAGTCGAACCTTTTCAGTCCTCTGCTCAAAACTCTGCAACACGTTTGGGATTTTAACAGATACTCACAACTACATAAAAAGAGTAAAACAACAGGCACCTACTATATACAACAGGGAACTATATTCACTATGTTCTATTCACCTGTAATGAATGGAAAAGAATCTGAAAATGATCCATCTAAAAGATGGGTCACTTTGCTATACACCTGAAACTAACATAACAGTGCAAATTATACTTCAACACAAATTAAAAAAAACTCTAAAGCCATTCATTAAAGACTGAATGAGTTCAACAAATATTTATTTTTACCCATATCATTTATCTGGAATATATAAATATATATATAAATATAATAAATATCATTTATTTATATAGTAAAAAAATACTATATACATGCACATACATATAAAAATAAATATATGAGTGTGTGTGTGTGTGTGTGTGTGTGTGTGAGTTGCATCCAACTCTTTGCAACCCCATGGACTGCAGCCCGCCAGGCTCTTCAATCCGTGGGATTCTCCAGGCAAGAACACTGGAGTGGGTTGCCATTTCCTTCTCCAGGGGATCTCCCCAGCCCAGGGATCGAACCCGGGTCTCCCACATTGCAGGCCAATTCTTCACTGTCTGAGTCACCAGGCAAGCCCTATGTAAGTATAAAAACTAAAATATAAATACATCAAAATGCGTGTGTAACTGCTTTGGGTTGATTCTTGTCTAATAAGAACCAAAGATGTCACGGGAAAATCCGTCTAACTGTTGACATCTGTGTTCTCTCAAAGTGTGGTCCCCACACCGGCGGCAGCAGCAGCAGGTAGGAGCTTGTTACAAACGCACGCTCTTGGACTTCACCTCGGATCTGCTGAGCTGGAAACTGTGTTTTATTAAACTCTCCGGGTGAGTCTGCGACACGCTAAAATTTAAGAACCACTGAAACAGATTATAAACTCATTAAGCTGGAAATGGCAATTGAATATTTAATGCATTCTCGTTTTTCACATTAGCGATTTCAAGTTTCTTGTGGGTAAAATAAGTTTGAAAGTATTCTGGCTGTGATCACGTCAGCAAGTCTTCTTCCTAATGATGTGGACACCTGTTCTTCCCTTACCTGCCTTTAGTCCCTCATCCAGGCTGGTCCTAATGTCTTATGCCTGGAACTTCAGTGCTTTCTAACTAGTCTCCATGGACTAACTAGTCTCCATGGACTAACTAATCTCCACATACTAAGGCATTTTCTTGAATAAAAAAATTAATTTTTTCATACATTTTTGTTTGTGAAATAAGAGATGTATCTTACAATCAATAAATACATTTATTACAGGGCTTTTTCTTATTTCCCCAAAGATTATTTTTATATCAAAGATATATTTCACTTGACGAATGAAGATATTTTCCTATACTGCTTCGCTTCATCATGCATCCAACTGGCATCCACTCTGCCCTCTCATCGCTCTATTTATCTAATACTGCAGGCATTTTTAACATGAAAAACGTTCATTAGTCAATCGGGCTAATTCTAAGGAAGACGTCAATTTCAGAATGATCCATTGCAAATACTTGAACTAAGAGCCTCTCACTAAGGTGAGGCGGTTAAGGTGGCTCCTACTCCAATCAGACTGGTGTCCCCGTAAGAAGAGAAGACGACGACACAGATGCACAGAGGAAAGACCGCAAGAGGCAGTTCACATTTGGGATATATCCTTGACATCTTTTATGCCTAAATTTAGACCCCTTAAAGGAAACCTTACAATCCAATTAAAACGTAAAAGTAAAAAAAAAAAACCACATACACTGTAAAACATACTTTTTCAAGCTATGTTTTTGCAATCATCAGGCTGTTTTAGAAAACTAATTTATATGGCTGAAACATTTGCCTTTACATCTATTTCTTTTAGTCACCATTCATGATACTGTACTAGGAGCAGGAAACAGGTGATATTATCTTAATTTGCTATAGTGGTTTTCCAATGCAACTTTATAAATGGAAGCAATCCCAAAAGCAGTCCTATAAAAATTTACTTCTCGTTTTTATTCAAACATTAATAAAATTGATTTTGATGGTGAGCACACTGTAGTGTATACAAAAGTGGAAATGTAATGCTGTGTGCATGAAACATGTAGTGTTACAAGTCAGTTACCACAATAAAAAATGTAAAATTTTAATAATTGAAATTCAGTTGCTATAACTCAAAAGAATGGGCATGATAATATGGAATATGAACAAAGGGTTTTTCATGTAGTAGTACTGTTTTATGAATTACTTTAGTATGCCCGTAATTTTTAGCATATTAGATAATATAAAGACATTGAACAAAATAATTTTCCATGTGACATGTGTTCCACCTTTTGTAAAGTATGCATAAAGTAAAACAGAAAGTAAAATCTAGTTTAATATCTATTTACACCAGTTTCATTACTAGGAAGAGTACCCAGAAACATAAGGAAGAATTAATTAGAACAATTCACTGACAGTTCATGTCACCATGATTCACTGTGCTGAGTACTCCTCTTTTTAATTCACTAACTTGGCCCAAAGAAAGGCAATCCCAAAGAATGCTCAAACTACCGCACAATTGCACTCATCTCACATGCTAGTAAAGTAATGCTCAAAATTCTCCAAGCCAGGCTTCAGCAATACGTGAACCGTGAACTTTCAGATATTCAAGCTGGCTTTAGAAAAGGCAGAGGAACCAGAGATCAAATTGCCAATATCCACTGGATCATTGAAAAAGCAAGAGAGCTCCAGAAAAACATCTATTTCTGCTTTACTGACTATGCCAAAACCTTCGACTGTGTGGATCACAATAAACTGTGGAAAATTCTGAAAGAGATGGGAATACCAGACCACC